GGGGTTACCTGTAATTGGAACTGAGCTGATTAAAAAGCATCTTTAAGTGCCAGTTACTTACCGAGTGAGCAAAGCAAGGTTATCAGCACACTAATTACCCTTACCCATCCTGTGGGAATGGGACTGGCCAGGTGATGTGGCCCATCTTATTCTAAGACCACGTCCAGGAAGAACACCCTTCGTGCCTTCTTGGGCAGTGACAGGAGATCCTTGCAATGGGCTTGGATGTCTCGAAGAGGAACCCGAGGCATTCACAAAGAATTGGAAAACATCATGATTGGTGACCCCAGAGAAACCAAGAACTGGACCCAGGGCTCCTGATCTCATCTCTCCCTCCATCCCCCTGCCCAGCCCCAACCCCTGTTTTAGTTGTCTGACGCCACTTAATGCTAACAAAAGAAAATCTTTATTGCTCAGTTCCTTTTCTTCCAGGAAACAAGAGGCATGTGTTCACATGTTCAAAGTAAAATTCCATGGCCTGTTGGGCATAGCTCAGTGGTTGAGCATCGACCTATGATCCAGGAGATCGCAGTTCGATCCCTGGTCAGGGCACATGCCTGGGTTGCAGGCTTGATCCCCAGTGGGGGACCTGCTGGAGGCAGCCGATCAATGACACTCTCATCACTGATGTTTCTCTCTCAAATCAATAAAGATATATTTAAAAGAAAAGAAAAAAAAAGGTCCAACTTTCATTGTGATTGCCATATCAATTAAAAGTAATGAAAAAGTGCCCCGGCCACATACTGAGAAGTGGCCAGGACTCTACCAGGTCTTAGTGTATCTGGGGGATGGAGGGTGTTGGGGAAGCAGATGGAAGGTGCATTAGAACGGCAAAGGCAGGACATTCAATGGGTGTAAGGGTTCAGAGGTCAAAGGGACTGGCTGTGTGCAAATACCCACCAATCTAGTGAAAATAAGAAAACCACCAAGGGCCTTTGTTGGCCTTCTCAAGGCATGTATGTGTATGAAAATCTGTTTTGGTGGCACCAGGGCATGCACGCTGCAGAATCCTTGTAAATTGGGCAGGTCAGATGACCCTTCCCCACCTCCACCACTTCCCAGTTTGAATTTTGTTGTCCATCTGTTACAAATACTTGCCTGTGTGGGGGAGGGCTCCCAGAGGAGGAATTGCAGCACCTGGCAGTGTTCAGCTTCCTAAGCAAGTGAAGCTTTCCTCCAGGGGTCCTCAGGCCATTCTAGAGGCAGGCAAGGCCAGGAGCCCTCTCTCCCCGTCCCTTTGTTCTGGCAGAGCCTGGGGACACATTCCCATTTGGTGCGTGCTCTTTGACCAACTGGGGGCCTTGCTGGGTGAGATGCAGGGGTCACGAACATACAAACACACAAGAAATGACAGTCCTGTGTATATTTAACAATATATATTTATATATATTTTCTAGATCAGTACATTCAGTTTTAACTTGTTTTTTTCTTCACAAACAGAAGAACTCTTACAATAGTAGACTTTCTAAAATAAATACTATTAAAATAGAGCTTCAAAATAAATATTCTATACAAAGGGAACCTTCTGTGGTAACTTTTGTTGTGGGGTGAGCAGGGACTACAGTGAAGAGGGACAATGAAGTCAGAAAGGCGGTGGGATGGGAACCTAGAACAGCTTTCCTGTTTGTAACAGGAAACCAAACTGGGCGGCAGTGAGAAGAGAAAGCAAGATAAGACACACCACGGCGTTACCCACAGCAAATATGGCAGCGCAAGAATTGTCATCGACTGTCACAGTAAGCAGAGGGCATGAAAATGCTTACCGCAGGCATGAACCCGGAGCCAGTGAAACTTGCGGGATGCCCTAGTGAACTGAACTGTACAGTGCAAAGCTGTGCTGCCCACACCCCACTGGTTATCTCCTGGGGCAGCGTTGGGGCACACGAAGCTTCAAGACGACAGATTCTGGGTGCCGTTCCATGTTGTGTGACCTTGGACAAGTCACTGTCTAACCAGGTCTCACTGGGGACCCACGCAGACTTCGGAACACTGAAGAACCAGACGGTGATGTGAAGGCCTTTCGTCTCTGTCAGGAGGGACGGTCTCCACCTCCTCCCAGCCAGGGACTGTCAGAAGCTTTGGTTGTGCCGTGATCCACCAGGGAGGGTTTTGCTCTCCTAGACCGTTCCCAGGGTGCTTGTTGGAGAGTTGGACTTTCACAAACCCACTTGGGGTAGGGAGCAGCCAAGGCCTCCTGGACCCAGGCCCACTGCAGGTTGGAGAAGTGGAACCAGCTGGCACTTTCCAAAAAAGGTCAAGACAGGGACTAATCCAGCCAAGCAAGCCACTGGTGACAGAAAAACAATCAGCCAGAGCAGCCACAGAAATGTGTTCTATTACTGAGTGTGGTCCCTCAGTGGCCTTTGACTAGTCCACGGGCAAGCCAGTTTTCTTGTGTTTGTTTTTCCAAGAAGCAGAGGAAAAATATGCTGAGGGACTGCTATGCAACAGAGCTGGGAGGACCCACGCTGCTCCACCCCTACCCTCCACCAGTGAGCACACAGGACACCCAAGAGTTCTGCAGACATCCATCTAGCAGGTTAAACGCAAACTAAAAAGAACAAGCCAAAACGGGAGAAAAAGGGAAAAGAAAATCCGTGTTTACAACTATGTACACAAAAAGTCAAGGTTTGGGAGGCTATCTGCCAGAAACGGGGTCTATGTAGATAGAGGGTGTGTGTGTGTGTGTGTGTGTATACACAGCTTATGTAAATCAATTCTCCATAGATCGGGTGTGTAGAACACCATTGCCAAAGTGCAACTTGCCAATGGGTCAAGTTTCCCATGGAGACATCTGGAGGGGCTCTGGGAGCATTGTGAGGCCTCCCCCAGAGTGGAGGTGTGCCCTCTCGTTTTGGGGGTAACCTGTGCACACCTATTCTGAGGAAAACATCTCCAGTCCCTTCAGTACACATCTGATACATTCAATTAGTATAAGTGGTTGGCTGAATGTGATTTTTCCTACCATTCCCTCCATTTGTGCAAGAACATCCATACATCCATCATGACTGTGGCAAGGGCAGCTACGTGAACCAGCCATAGGAAACGCAGATGCAATATTTCATATTTGCCTTTTACAAGCTAGCAAATGTTATATAAATAAAGCCTAAAATAACCAGACGCTCCCCTCCTTTCCTCCAATCAATAAATACCTATTGGTTACGATTAACTTATTCTAAATCATAAGATGTTACTACTAGTCTTCAAGAAGGGGGGACAGAAAGTTCTTGGGAAGCACTGGGTGCGTGCCAGTCACAGCTACCTGCCTCCTTGCATCCTTCCTGGAAGCAGTTCTGTTCCCCCAGAACAAACTGGAAATGCTGCAAACGCTCTACACCTAATGCACTTCCAATTTCCCCTGGGGTGGCTTTTCTGACCCAGGCCACTTTCATGGGGGGGACGGGACTGGACACACAAAATACCACATGAAGCAAAAACCCCGCACAACAGCTAGGGAGAGGGACCGGACACTACAGCGCTTGCATGCAACAAGTACCTACCCACTGGACGTGCTGCACTTTCTGAGTTCTAGCACCTTGAGAGAAAGAGTTGCTACGTCTTCGGGGGCTGTCAGGAGGGGGTGGCGTGGCCATGCACAGAAGCAGGGCTCAACCCCAAGAAGCCCCTGGAAAATCTTTCCCCCACCCGCATTCTTCTGACTCCCCCACCAGGGCTTCCTAACACTAAAATAGACTCTCTTTTCCATCATCTGTCTATTTATATTAAAGATACAGACACATCACTGTACATAAAAGGCTATGCCAGCAAAGCAGCAGAATCAGAAGAGAAGAAACCGGCACCCATCTTGGCTCCACTGTCACTGCCAACGGGAGGTGCTGCCTCTCTTCTTTGCTGTTAAAATCCTCTTCTCGGTGGGGAGGGGGGGTTGTGTTCCTTGAGGTTGCTTGCCCCCCCAGATTTTGAAATCAGCCCTTCCTGGGGGTGGCCCAAAAGGAAGCAAGTGTTTTATTATTTTCTAAAACACCGTTAGCATCTGGTTTAATTATCCTATAAAAACATAATGACTGGATCCAGAGACCACAGCCTCAGACTCATTGGCAAAATGATATTTGGTCTCGCATTCGCCGCCCAGGGCTTCTCGACCCATAAAGTTTCTGGAAAGGATCTGGGTAGAGAGAACTCGGGACAAGAAGCGGGCAGGTGAGTCTGTGACTCAGTAAGAACCGGAGGACGGTGTTATGAATGCAACACCCCCAAGAGTGATGGAGCTGGAAGGGAGAGGTGCTCTGTGTAGTGGCTCCTAAATCCATCCGTGGCTCCAGGGAGACAGAGGAAAGAGGCCCGGACTCACTGGCCGTCCTCTGTTCTCAAGTATATACAACAGGGACTGCCAGGGTCTACACCTTCCCCAAGATGTCAGGCAAACTGGGGAGGGGAGGAGAAAAGATACAGCCACCAAGACTCCCAGGGTCTTCTCCAAAGGTCCCCTGGCCACTCAGTTAACGGTTCCTCCCAGGCAGCCAAAGAGAATGGAAAAGGGGGGG